ATATATATATATCGTCAAATAGAACTGCCCGGTAAACCGTAGGCAGAGAGGGAGAAGAGGACAACAAACGAGGGGCTGTGACAAACTGTTTCGTCGGAGTTTCACCGACTCATCAGGAGATCGTCACAAACAGAACTGTCCGGTAAAACCGTAGGCAGAGAGGGAGAAGAGGACAACAAACGAAGGGCTGTGCCAAACTGTTTCGTCGGAGTTTCACCGACTCATCAGGAGGCTGAACCCAGTCAACCAGATCTGCCTGGTAAACCGTACTAGGCAGAGAGGGAGGGAGAAGAGAACAACAAACAAGGGGCTGTGACAATCTGTTTCGGCGGAGTTTCACCAATTCGTCATTAAAATCGATTACATTGTGTGGCAATTGCATTCATTGCATTAAATTTTGTGGCAATTGCATTCATTGCATTAAATTTTGTGTGGCAATTGCATTCATTGCATTAAATTAAAGAACTAAATTTTTTTCTATCTGTATTCTCCGTTCACTCTGTTGTTCATAGAAGTCGATTACTTATGTAGGGTACCAGCCGGGCCGCCCGGGTCACCCTATTTTCCCGGGCGGCCTGGCCGTGCAAGGAACAGGGAAAGTCCCAGGCCCCCCCCCCAAAAAAAAACAAAAAGGAACTCCAAAAAATCCTAAAGACAACTATGTTATGCAGAAAAATAAACTGAAAAACTTTTTCCTCACGGTCACATCGAAATTCTTTACCAAATGTAAAATAAAATTTTAAATTAAAATTTATTATTATTATTATTATTATTTGTATCTTTTTGGCCCGGCCGGGCAAGTGGACCCGGGTCACTCTGGTAGCCTAGTTACTTATGTCAATACAATGAAAAAATACAATAAAATACTAAAAATACCATATTGTTCATACTTATAGATTATATGTTCGATGATAAACAAGTTAAAACAACTATTTAAGTTAATAATGTAATGAATATTCACATCAATATGACCTCGGACTAGGCAGATGGGAAAAGTTATTCTTAGACAATTGAGAATTACGCTCTCATTCCTTTTTTTTCCCCCCTTAGCTCCTTGAATTTCCTTCCGAAAACAGAAATTTTATTACCAGGCCACTGAGGCCAGTGCCCAAGGCCTCAGTACAGAAGGGTCCTGCCAAAAATCCAGGGGTACATTTCACCCACTTGATAGGTGAGGGACCTGAGGGTCATGGTCGAATCAAAACACGGTGAGGGGAGCGAGGACTGCACACAGCATACTCATCTTGCATACACAGTTAAAAAAATATAAATAAAAAGAAAACACAAAAGAAAAAGAAAAGAAAAAAGACAAAGAACTGCACACAGCACGCACATCTTGCGGTAGTCCGCTGCACGAGTCAACCCTCCACGCAAACAGCAGACTGGCCATCGCTGCCTCATCCATACGGTTTTGAAATAATTATGAGTTTGCACTTTTTAGAAGTTCTTTTGTTTTATAAAGTTCGTCTGTGGCACATTGATCAATTGTAAAACAGTGTAAATATGACAAAATTATTTGAAAAATACAACAATCAAATAATAAATATTCTATTAATTTAATTCACCAGCACCCCGCCCAGCTAAGGATGCCCGGCCTACATTCATCTAGCGCACCAAAACAAAGACGGAACCGACCCGGGCCTCATTTTGACTTCGCACCGCCAGCCATTTCGGTCCGGTACCCAACCCCCCCAAAAAAGCAGCCATAAACGAGCCAGATATTTGCTTTTCAACCGGGGATAGGCACCGGTGGTTTAAGGGTTACTTTGCAAAACGCCCCCATAAAAAATGCCCCCCAAAAGATGTGAATAGAGTGGAATGCCTCTCTGACAAAAACAATATGTTGTGAAATACCCCTGGCATCGGTTGGACCCCCGATCTTTGCAATATAACCCTGCGAGGTGCCATCCAACTTTGCAAAATGCCCCACTATTTCCAAGTCCCGCTTGCAAAATACCCGGGCCCAAACAGTGAGGTCCAGATCACAAATTTGCGCACGGGGCTGACAGGGTCTTAAGTTCTCTTAACACATAACACACAGAATTCTGCCCAAAAGGGCATTCCGCTCCACCCACATCTTTCACAGGCATTTTGGCACATATGTCAACTTCTGGGGGTATTTTACTATTTTGCAAAAGTGTCCCATTTTTGTGGAAATTGTGAGCTTTTCAAAATTTGAATCACCTTTACATATCATATGTAGATCCCTATCCTGCATGCAAGGCCGTAGACGGACATTCTTTTTGTTTCTTTCTTTTTTGGATGGAGGGATAAGAAAAGATCAGTAACACTCACTTCGGGAGCAAAACAGAACCAATACAAACGAGGGGATGTGACAAACTGTTTCGTCAAATAGAAGTCTGCAAGAAGAATGTAGGAAAAAAATAGCGCAAATGATCAGACGAATACAAACTTTCAAATTACTTATAAAATTTTCACCTCGTTAATTTCGAATTCAATTTGTTGATTTTATCGCTTTGCGCCCTCATCCCATCCCATATAGAAAGAATTACTAACCATAAATATCTTGCGCAAGTTGATGGGCCCGATCCTCATCAGCTGGCTCCGTACTGCGTGTGCTCGTTATCAGCTTCACCAAAAGGGTCCTGAACCATCCACTGCTAACAGAAAACAACACAAAAATTTTCCAAATTTGTTTTTCATTTTTAGTTTTTTGAACTGTAAGATATTTGGGTTTTCTAACTCTTTAAATTAAAAGTTAAATTAAAAGTTAAAAGTTAAAACCCTACACACAGCAGATGGTGCTTTTCTGAAAATGCAATTTATACCAAATCCCACGAGCTCCGATTGGAAAGAAAGGCAGTTTCTTGATTTTTTTTTTTTTTTTTTTTAACAACTGGACCGTTTCTCGATGTGTGTCATCCTTGCACAAGGGCCATGCTAATCTTCTCTGTATCAAGTACTATCGTCCAAATTGCTCTTCAATTTCCTCGTTCTTAAAGCCCTACACACAGCATACGGTGCTTTTCTGACAATGCAATCCATCACAAATCCCATCCAATTACAATCAGAAGAAAGAACGGCGGTACCTAGATCGATTTTCTTTTTCTTTAATTAAAAATTTGGACCATTTCTCGATTTACAGCATTATATGCATGTAATCGCTGTTCAGGGGCCATGCTAATCTTCTCTCTGCATTGTTCCAATTTTAACGGATTTCCTGCAGTACAAAATCGACTTTTTTCAAGTTTTGAAGTTTTTTCTCATAGCAACAAAATTGAAAATTTGAACTTAACAAACTTTTTTCAGAATGAGTTTTTTCTCTGCATTTAAGTTTTTTTTTTTTTTAAGAAAAGTGGACTTCCATATTAATATAGCCAGCAAATGAGCCCGGTGTCCCTTACATCATTTTTTGCTGCGGTCAAACGGGCTAAGCAAACCACTCCCGGCCAAACCTATCCCCACCACAGCCCCACCAAGGTTACAAATCCAATGATCCCAATCCCAACCCTAAAACAAAATCCGCGTTTTTTTTTTTTTTTTTTTTTTTTTTTTTTTTTTTTTTTTTTTTTTTAAATTGAGTTCTTGACTTTCTAATTTTTAAAACCCTACAGACAGCGGACAGTTGGAGGGGGAGGGAGTGACAAAAGCGAGATTGGTTGTGGGTGCTCCCCAATTTTGGGTATATTTGAGGCAAACTCTTTTTGAGTCTAGAATCTAGATAATACAGCAATGATGACCATACGCTGTATTCGGATGAAAAAGGTAGCACTGGTAGTGTTTCACCTGAGGTCAACTCCCACTGGCAGCGTTGAGTTTCCTTAACACCCGTATGTGGACCTGTTTGTGGAGAGGCGAGTTTGAGGTGAAGCTCAACACGATTTATGCACATCTCCTCAAACACGTCCAGATTAAGGCTTTGTGGAAACTCAAGGCTGCTAGTGGGACTTGGCCCCTGGAGGGGTGAGGTTTGTGTGTGGTTAGCACAAAGACAGCACCAGAGGTTCTTAGTGCGATCCACTACCAATTCCCTGGTGGTAAAAAAAGGAAATTTCGTATCAATGGTTCATGGAAATTCAACACGTTCCTTCCTTGGATTGTCTGTTAAGGGCGTTCTTTACCTTTCTTAGCTTTTCCGCGATCCCTGGACAGAGGTTATATCTCCGTTGTGTGGACCACCAGAATCAGTTATGTCAATCTTCTCTCCCTTGACAATGTGGGGACCACCACAACCAGGTTGCCAACATCAGTGACAGAACAGCCCAGCGTATGGACCTCGTGAGCTCCACAAGTTACCAAACGTGCAAAATGAAAGTGAATCTTCTGCCTTACGCTATAACATGGAAAGATACACCACCATTTATTTTTTTGTCCACCACCATATTTTGTGTCTTTTGTGCATGCAGTGAGCAGTGGAGTGAGGCCCTATTGAGTATGGTTGGTGTCCACACGGTTTGATAATGTCGACTTCCATTTCCGTCAAGGACGTAACTGACAACACCTAGATGGGGACAACAGACTGCAACAACAACAAAAAAAAAAGGACATCACGCAACAGGTGGCAGGCAATGTGCAACAAGCGGCGATGTACCGATTCGTGCGGTTTTTTTTTTTTTTACCTTGGAAGTTAAAATCTTCTAAAGCAGACCATGACGCACACTGAAATGCTTGTGTTGCCTTAAATTTCCCTTATAGTGCAGTTCTTCGGTTCCCTTAGAACCATTTCTTCGAGCAACCCTCTTTTCCACTGTGCCTCTCATTTCTTCGATAAGGTTCTCCACCTTAACGTGGATGAGCGCAAGCTGCCCAAATCCCCTTGTGTCATCCTCTTGCGATATTCTGCATATCTGGGCTTCAAATTTCGGTGCATTTGCATCCACTCGATACCAATTGGCATAACATGATTCATAAACTGCTGTGGTCATGCCACCTTCTCTGGAATGCTAGTGTTCAGATTTCAACAGCTCCCCCAAAGAACAAACATACTTTCCAAGAATGACAACTAATTTAACTAATGTATAATAACTTAATAAATACTCCTTACAAAACAATGTTCTCTGGAATAATTATGAAAAATAGGCTCAAACTGTACCATGGGGATATTTCATACTAGTGGTGGGACCTTCTTCCCATAAATTTGATACCTTACACAAATAATATATATATATATATATAGTCAAACAGAGCTGCCTACGGTGAACCGTAGGCAGAGAGGGAGGGAGAAGAGGACAACAAACGAGGGGCTGTGGCAAACTGTTTTGTCGGAGTTTCACCGACTCATCAGGAGGCTGAACCCTCAACAGTCTGCAGAATCCCCTAACTGATTACACTGTAAGTGACAATCCACCTTAACCCCGGCTGTGGTTAAGCATCAACGACTGCCCGACAACTGATACCCTGAGGTGGGCACCAACCACTTCCCTCAAGGTACCTGTGGCAAAAGTCAAAGCAGACTATCACTCACCCACACCAGATGGAAAACTCTACAGACTGTCGGTTCACACCCCATCACAAGCAAGCAAAACACCCACTATATATCTATATATATATAGTCACAAAACTACAAACTAAAAGAGCGCACTTTGCAAAACAAACGACACATGACTCTAACAGCAATCCTACACAGAAAGTGCTACCATCTTCATCTGAATGGAATGCCCCATCACTATCTCTGTATCTAGACGGAACGTTGCACCAAATGCAGCTATGATAGTGACCAGGCATCCTGTCCAGGTGACGACGGCAGGGTTGCCTTTTGCTTTCCTTTCGATTCAGAAGAAGAAGCGCCTTGCCACACACATTATTAAACATGTAAAAAAAGAAAGCTATTTGCCAGAAGGTTCAGTGGAACCCACTGACTAAAACAGGGGGTGAACAAGAAGAGTCCTAAGCGTGTGGGATAACTAGAAGGGGTTGCTTAGGTGTACAGGACAGAGGAGACTTACCCTGTCTCGCCCGCAACGTCAGCTTGTAGCTCTTTGCCGTACAGAGCTTCATAGACGGCAGACACAGCGGCCAGCTGTGGTGATGTGCGAGTGCAGATGATTTCGACCAGTTTCTTCTCGTCGGTGCCGAGTCCGGCCATGGCATCGTGCAACCATACGGCGTCGCGCCAAGGGGCCGGCTCGAAAAGAGCCAGCAAACCGCTGCGTAAACATTTATCGTGCACCTTTTCCTTGATCATCTCCGGCACCCATTCCTCATGGGTATCCTTGATATACGCAACAATCCCGTCCCGCTGCGACCACGACTGCTCCAACCAACCGAAAAAAATCACAACGAGAACCACACGAACACTTTCAGATTGTTTGGTACCCAAATCCTCGTCGGAAACAAAAAAATGTCATTGCCACTTCTCACAAACACTTCTGAAAGACTAATTAATGCTGCCGAAAGATCTTGAAATGATCATGATAAAATTTGAAGCCACCCGCCCCCCCCACAACAAGGGAAGATGATACGAGCAACCTACCCCTGGCAAGGGTTCTGGCTGCTCCAGTCTATTAGCGGGGAGCTTCATGTGCTGGAAAGCGGGTCAAGCGTCCGTTGAATCACCATAAGTGTTGATAGAGTGGGGGGATGATAACATTGTGAGCCTTCACACCAGCACTGACTACCCCAGGGAGAACTGGTGGATTCACTGCGCAGGAGTCGAAAGAACTTGGAAATTGGTTGATGGCTGTGTGTAATACCTCTTCACCCGACTGCCGGGCGCCTGAGCGGCAACCAGAACGAGTATTACTTCTGCAGCCAACTATGACACATCTTACTGACCTATAACAAAAATAAACAAATAAATAGTAATGATTATAAAAAATAAAAATCTTACTGACCCTTTTCTTTTTTTTATTTTTTTAACCATTTTCTAGAAAGAACATTCCGCTACTGACCCTGAAGATCAATGGCAAACAATAGCACTTTGTGTCCGGCATGTCTTGCTGCGTGCCTGGAGAGGCGTTTGCAACATTGATTTTCTTTGGTCTCCTCAGTTCGGAGAACCACTTCAACGTCCATTTTCGGCGCAATGAAGCCAGACCAGTGAGCTATCACACTTTCTTCAAAGGATGGCTTCTTCCAAGCCCACCTCCTGAAGTGGTTGTAATTGCTCTCGATCACTTCCATTCCCACTAAGTGATTGCTTTAGGACCTTGGCGTACGATCTGGGCTGTTTCCCTTTTTCGACATTTTTGGATCTTAGCACCCAAAGTCTGTCTGCACAATTCTCAGCCAGCTCAGCAGAACCAAGCTCAAAGATGATGGTAGGAAAAGTGCACGGAAGTCCGAGAGGGAGCAGAGAGGGATAGAGGGGTCCAGGACTGTACACTCGTGAAAGGCCAAGCGATAATCCCTGGCGATTTTTTCTTCAGCCCCTTCCTGATTCTCTTGGTTCTCTTCCCGTGCTGCCTTCCACTTGATTTCAAATTTTCAATTTGTCCCACTTTTCCTCCCTGGTGATCCCCCAGCCAGTCTCCACAGAATTCTTGAATGACATTGTGCTAATTGATTTCGGATTCGGTTAATATTAATTTAGGTGTTTGATCAGATTGATCTTCTCTTTAGCCTTAAAGTTTTCCCATGGGGCAGTAATGTCAGTTTGAATCTGATGTTTTATTAAATGTGTGAATTCTGGGCCATCTATTCTGCGGCCTTCTCCATTTCATATCTACTCACAAAAGACTACAGGATGTTGAGTGCAAGGCTCAAAGATACATCCGCCTCTATAATGGATAATCATGGATGTATATATCTTTCCACCTGCTATGTGCTATTTTTCATGTTTTGTGAGCAATGCATTCTTCCACATTCGGGATATAGGACTTCAGAGATGGTTGAACCTGGACTGATTTCAACTGAGTTGTTCTGTTCTGTGCCCTTGGTTTGCCGATGCCAGAACGACGCTGGCCGGAGCTGGGGCGTTGCCCTGTAACCTATAAATAGCAGGAGCGTGATGCCTTGTAGAGAGATCTGGGGTGTGCTGAGGGTGGAAGGCAGTCTAGTGGTGAACCAGGGGGGGCTGCAATGAAGCCAGAAGAGATCAGCTATGGTGCATCATTAATCAGTGTCAATAGTATCATCATGGTCATCATCAGCGGTTTCCGTATGTTCATTCCGGGCAGACTGTGAGGACCCCGGCCTCAATCTTATTATTGGTAATATCAGCCTTGGGCACTGGGCCCGGTTATAAAAAATAATAATAATAAAAAAAAAAAGAGCATTTTTCGGTTTGTCAATTTATTTTCCGATGGACTGGTGGTTTTAAGTTAACAAATTTCATTTTCAGTGCGCTGCAAGGTATCCTCACTGTAACCCCAGTAAAACATGGAGAGCCCATGTTTTAGATGTACCTGCCTGCCCTCAGCTGCCCTGATACACAATCCAGTTCAGGAGAAAATGGCCTTTAGCAGACTCGAGGATTAAGACAAAAAAGGCCTTGCAGTTGTTCCATTCCGAGACACACACAAGGGCCTCGCCTCTTAACACTTACTAGTACTAGGATCACACACCTGTGCAATATTTACTGCCAGTGGATCGGTAGGCTAATAATAATGGCAGGGTAAGGAAAGCCATTTCAGGGAATCTGGGTGCTATGTTGCACAAGCTGTACGACCAACCGAACCCCTCAATAGCCAGTTGAAAAACTTGGAGGCCATGTGAGAGTACACCCTGCACTACTGGCCAGTGCCCAGCACGCACTCACCCTTTCCTGCTTTTAACCGATCCCTATCCTTTAATAAATCTCAAATTATATTTGTTCTAATAAGACGAAGGTCACAAACATGGTAACCGGGCAGTCGTCTGGACCGGCATCCAGACAGTCTGGAAAATTTTGTACCGGTTCAGACACGGCTACAGCTCTGTGAGCTGTTTGGGGTACGGTGGCAGGCAGGAGGGCAATTTGCATCGGCCGTTTTGAGAGGACGCCTGCCCACTGCCGCTGCCGTTCGAAGTCTGCTGCTGCCGCCGCCCTGCACCATCCTCCAGTTCATCGCTTCCAACTTCATCATCGCTCCAAGGAGGCAGCCGTCGCTCATCGAGAGTGGCCACAGCGATGGGACTGATGGCAGTGGCAAGGAGGATGACAGCGGCGATAACGAGAAAGATGGCAGTTCCTCGGAGAAGGACGTCGACTCCGATGAAGAACCACTAGCTGACAAACGGCACAAGACATCCCAAGAGAGAGAGAGAGAGAGAGAGAGAGAGAGAGAGATGACAGCTACTTCGAAGTTCAAAGTTCAAAACTCGTTTGACGTTGTTTGTTCCCCCTGACGGCTGTGGAAGTCTTTTCTAAACTCGTCCGACGTTGATTTTTTTCCCCTGATTCTCGAGTCTTAAGCCACAGCTTTGCACTGTTTACATCTTTGCAGGTCTGCCCGTTGAATGTACTTCTTCATTTGCTGAGAGAACTGTTTGAGCTCCGGAGTGCAGTGCCGGCGAGTGTCTGTTGTCCAGCATAGGTGAGAGTTGCTGAGATTATATCATGATACGGCCTGCTATTTATTTTGCGGCTTTTGCCTTCGGTGCAGTGATGGTTGAAAATAAAATGAGCTTTAAACCACCAGTACCTCGCTCAGCTATTGAATCCGAGCGTCCCAGCACGCTGCGCACCAAGTCCTGCCGAACCGCCGTCACAATTTTCTTTTTAGTTTTGCCTGCGGCCTCCAGCCAATGCGGTCCGGCAGGCCTAAGCCCAAATGGCGCGGTGCGTATACGGGAAGCGCCGCGGCCAATAGCTGGGCCAGGTACTGGTGGTTTAATGAAGTCTCCTCGAACAGGACAACGGTGTGCTACACCCCCCTTCACCCCCCTTTTGACATAATGCCACTGCGCTTTCACCTCATTTGTGTGTGCACCTCTAAACGTGCACTCTGCCAGACAGCTCCACAACCCAGTAACTTCGCAAGAACTGCTCCAGTAACTGTAACGCCCGTTATGACTGCCAAGCAAGTAACGACCTGTCCCTCCGATTTCAAATGAGAAAAAGAGAAACTAAGCCTTTCCTCTGCCTTAAAATGAGAAAAATAAAATCTACGGTCAAAGGCGGCAAGAGCAGTCTACACGAGGGCTCCGTTCGTTGTGCCACTGCACTTCCACCTCGTTTGTATGGGTGAAAGAAAAAAGCGAAAAAAAGAGGAAAAGTACCCTACACATCCATCTTCGACTTAATGCCACTGCAATTTTACCTCATTTGTGTGGGTGCCTCTAAACACTCGGCCAGATGGCTCAGCATCCCCATAACCTCAGCATACTTGTGCAAATGTATGCCAGAGTGCACCTGGACGACCACACGGTGAGGTTCACCAATCTGAAGTCATCCGGGGCCAGATATTGTCTGAGGCGTTCACACCAATAACCCAGGCAGGGAGAGAGCCCCGGTGCATCCAGAGATGGCACCAGTGCTCTAGACTCTTGTTATGGCATTATACAAACAACACACAGGACCGAGCACTGGGGCAACTTGAAGGCTTTTGGACGGTCCGAAGGCAGGGGACAAGGACACGCGGATAGGAGGGGGGGCAAGCGGAGGGGCGGCTGAGGAGTTGTGATGATGGCAGGTTGTGGTGGGGGATTGGTGGAGGGGCAGTGGAAGCAAATATCTTCTGTGCACCACGTGCAACTTTAAACCACCACTACCTCCGATCCTGTTTTTGCCGAGCCTGATTTTCACTGCGCACTGAGTTTTGCCGAGCCGTGGCAGTTGCATCCGAAAACAAGGGGAAACAAAATCATTCCTGAACGCCGTGATAACCATCAGATACATTCTACAAAGTGCTAGTGTGACTGTGCCCTCAGAAAGGCTGTGTGTCCGGCAACCAACAGATAAAAAAGCAAAAAAACAAAGTGTCCCTTATGCTGCGATTGAGGGCCGATACAGGGTGCTACAGGACTATTGCGAGTAAGAGGTAAAGTTAGACAGTTACATGCCAAGCATGGAATAGGCAAGTTGGACAGTTTCATCCAGCACGTGGAATACGCCCTGCCTGGCTGCCAGGGCACTACGAGGACATAGCGGCCAGATTATAAGCCCAGAGACATTCCTCAAAGCACTGGCGTAACTTCCAGCTTCATGAGGGCCTTCCCCGACGGCGGTGGATTTTTTTTGTTTTTTGTTTTTTTGTTTTTTGTTTTTTTGTTTTTTGTTTTTTCCATTTTGTTTTCGTCAGCCTCCAACCCTGCCCCAGGGCACAGTCCCACTTGCACCATTGAGTTCAGCTTGCTCAACGGTGTGACAGCTTTTCAAGCATTTTTTAA